TATTCTATTCTATTCTATTCTATTCTATTCTATTCTATTCTATTCTATTCTACTCTACTCTACTCTACTCTACTCTAAACCTTTTTGTTAAGATAACATAGCATTATACAAAACATTTTCCTGAAATAAATAGTAGCTTCAAGGAGATTGTATACATTTTTAAGAAGATGTTGGATAACCATTTGTCTGAAGTGGCGTAGGGTTTCCTGCCTAAGCAGGGGTTTGGATTAGAAGACCTCCAAGGTCCCTTCCAACTCTGTTATTCTATTCTGTTCTGTTCTGTTCTGTTCTGTTCTGTTCTGTTCTGTTCCGTTCCGTTCCGTTCCGTTCCCTTCCGTTCCGTTCCATTCCATTCCATTCCATTCCATTCCATTCCATTCCATTCTATTCTATTCTATTCTATTCTATTCTATTCTATTCTATTCTACTTTTTTGCTTCTCTAAAAACTGCATTTCTACCAAAAGAAAAACTGTGTTAATCTACTTTGGCACCCTTAAGATGCCTAGACTTCAACTCTCAGACTGACTGAGGAATTCTAGGAATTGAAGTCCATGCATCTTGAAAGTGTCTAGGTTGAGAAACATTGATGTAGAATATCATGTGGAACACGTGTTGGGAGTGATTGGACCAAGAGTTGGGAGGTCCTGATTCTAATTCCCTCTCTACTCTAGAGGTTCGTTCAGTAAATTTGGACCAGTCAGAGTCCAAAGCCAGGAAGAAAACTGCATTTCAGTTAAGCTGAATACAGGCAGTCCTTGACTTATATCCAAAACTGAGCCAAAATGTCTGTTGCTAAGTGAGACATTTGTTAAATTAATTCTGCCCTATTTTACGACCTTCCTTGTCACACTTGTTAAGTGAATCACTGTAATTGTTAAATTAGTAACACGGTTGTTAAGTGAATCTAGCTTCCCCATTGACTTGCTTGTCAGAAATTTGCAAAGGGGGATCACATCACCCCTGGAACACTGCAGCCATCAAAATATGAGTCAGTTGCCAAGAATCTGAATTTTGATGGGGATGCTGCAACAGTCGTAAGTGTGAAAAATGGCCATAAGTCAGTCTTTTTACTGCCATTGTAACTCCGAACGGTCACTAAACGAACTGTGTTATAAGTTGAGGGCTACCTATAAGCAAGAGAATTCCATTCAGTTTGAATTAAAAGGGAGATTTTTACTTGCTTGATGTTATAATGGAAAGATATAAAAATAGTCATCAGAGCTAAGCCTATCATGAAAGATGCCAATTAACTCAGCCAGATGTAATTTTCAAGCTTCAATTTGTTCTTAGATTTGTGCTTCCTTCTGGCAGGAAATGATCATTTACCTGTATCCAGTTGGAAGATCTTTTGACTTGGGAAACAGGGCCACGTCACACCACAAAGAAAAGAAAAAAGAATTCGTTTATTTGGTTATATGCATTTACAATTGTGGCATTTTGTCCAAGAGAATATCTGGTTTTCTGAATCCAAGCTGTTTGGCTTCCCTGAAGTTAGCAGGTTACTAGAGTAGAGTAGAGTAGAGTAGAGTAGAGTAGAGTAGAGTAGAGTAGAGTAGAGTAGAGTAGAGTAGAATAGAATAGAATAGAATAGAATAGAATAATAGAATAGAATAGAATAGAATAGAATAGAATAGAATAGAATAGAATAGAATTCTTTATTGGACAAGTGTGATTGGACACACAAGGAATTTGTCTTCAGTGCATAAGCTCTCATATATAAAAATATATTCATCAAGAATCATAAGATACAACACTTAGTGATAGTCATAGAATACTAAATAAGCAATCAAATCATACTAGGAAACTAAAACAATATAAATCATAAAGATACAAGCAACAAGATTATAGTCATAAGTAGAAGGAGATAGTTAATAGGAAGGATGAGAAGAAGAATAGTACTATAGTGTTAGTAGTTAATTTGACAGTGTTGTGGGAATTAGTTGTTTAATAGAGCGATGGCATGTGGGGAAAACTGTCCTTGTGTCTAGTTGTTCTGGTGTACAATGCTCTATAATGTCGTTTTGCGGGTAGAAGTTGAAACAATTTATGTCCAGGATGTGAGGGATCTGTAGATATTTTCACAGCCCTCTTTTTGACTCGTGAAGTATACAGGTCCTCAATGGAAGGCAGTAGTAAATGTTAGCCATGTGGGGAAAATAAAAAAAAAAACAATTCACACAACATCTGAGGATTTCTCCATGCTGCGGACATAATCTATGAATTGTTTCATTTTTGTCCAGGTTGCTTTGCTCACTAAAAATACCCTGTCAAAAAAGACTTTTAAACTTGCATGATGCCAAGATGTGTTGAGCCTGCGAAAGCACTGAACAATAAATGAGATTGAAGCAGCATGAAGAAAATCCTTTGGTGGCAAAATTGGTAGGAATTACTGGGTGGGTGGGAACAAACACCTGGCTGTTTGAGTACTTTGGCATCTCTGTCTCTCTGTTGGTTTGGTTTGCAAAATGCTCTGTTGATTTGCAGAGATTTCCCAGTTTTTGTCTTTTTTTTTTTTAAAAAAAGAAAAACCTGTGTGATGTGCAAATTTATGTTCATTTTCCCCTTGAAAAATTTCAGCTCTTTGACAAGGATTAAGGAAACGGTTTCTTTCCTCAGCTCACCTCTCCAGTCCTAGATTTCTAAATTTTGGTTTGGTTTTCTGCCAATTATCTGAGTTTAGAATTTTAAGTCTGAGTATGAGAAAACTGTAATAACAATTTGCATAGGATTTTGGTTTGAAGTGGTTGGCAAAAACAAATATTCTGCCAGTTAGTTAAAGGCACCCAGCTAGAAAACAAGAAGCCATGAGTTCAAGACTTGCCTTAGTCACGAAAGCCAACTAGGTGACTTTGAGCCAATCACCAAAGTCCCACCTTTGGCATGAAATACGGCTGAGTGATTTTGGGTCAATCACCAAGAGATTGTGAGTTCTAGTCCCACCTTAGCCATGAAAGCCAGCTGGATAACTTTGGGCCAGTCCCTTTTTTTCAGCCCAACCCACCTCACAGGATCGTTGTGGGGAAAAGAAGAGGAGGAAGGCGTGCTGGATATATTTTCCACCTTGAGTTAATTGTAAAAACAGTAAATGTGGGATACAAATAAAACAAAGAAACATACATATAGACATGGTATATATTGGCTGATTCACTGGAACAGGAGCTTTTCTCATTATAGAGAATTCTTTTATTTCCTTGCTGTTAACTTGATAGTATTTATTGGATTTTTTTTTCCTCTGCCAAACAAGCTTTCTCACATTGCATTTATTTATTTTACTAACAGTCATGGGCAAAGTTACTTGTAATTATTAACTTCTATAGTACTGAATTCTTAAAAAGTAATGTAGATAGATGATGATGATAGATAGATAGATAGATAGATAGATAGATAGATAGATAGATAGATAGATATAGAGGGAGGGAGGGAGGGAGGGAGAGAGATATCATGTTTCCCCGAAAATAAGACCGGGTCTTATATTAATTTTTGCTCCAAAAGACGCATTAGGGCTTATTTCCTGGTTAGGTCTTATTTGGGGGAAAATACGGTACTAAATGCACCCATATGGCTGACAAGTGGGGCTTATTTTGGGGGGTAGAGCTTATATTACAAGCATCCTGAAAAACCATACTAGGACTTTAGATAGATTAGATAGATAGATAGATAGATAGATAGATAGATAGATAGATGGATGGATGGAGGGAGGGAGGGAGGGAGGGAGGGAGGGAGGGAGGGAGAGAGAGATATCATGTTTCCCCGAAAATAAGACCGGGTCTTATATTAATTTTTGCTCCAAAAGACACATTAGGGCTTATTTCCTGGTTAGGTCTTATTTTAGGGAAAATACGGTACTAAATGCACCCATGTGGTTGACAACTGGGGGTAGAGCTTATATTACGAGCATCCTGAAAAATCATGCTAGGATTCATTTTCTGGGGGAAACAGGATAGATAGATAGATAGATAGATAGATAGATAGATAGATAGATAGATAATTTAGAAAAAATCTTTCACAGAATCACAGGGACCTTCAAGGTCATTTAGTCCAACCCTCTGCTCAAGGCAGGAGACCTTATATCATCCTGGATCAACGGCTGCCCAGTCTAGGTGCTGATTGTTCCCATGACACCCTCACCCTTTTGTACAACATTGTCACTTGGTTTGATCTTGTTTCCTTTGCCTAGGTCACCAGCCCCAATGGGAAATGGTTCGGTGAAACCCAGGTACCTGCGGAGGTCAGTCAGCCACGTCGGAAGCTGTCCTTTCGGTTGTTCCAGTTGCGGCAAAGTCCTGAAAGACCCGGGGTTGAGCATCAGCACGATCACAGGAGCTGCAGACCTTCTCAGAAACAAGATTTGGGAGCTTGAGAAAGAACTGAAGAGGCAGGAAGAAGAGCTACACGAGAGGAGCTATCACATCTTAGAGCTTCAGGAGCAGCTCGCCAAGCAAACGAAGACCATCGGAGACCTTACCGAAGAGCTGAAGTGTAAATGCGTCCAGCTGAACAAACTACAAGATGTTGTGGTCACTCAAGGGACAAATCCTTTCCTTTTCCCCAGCCTTACAGAGACACCCAGAGCCAGCCAGGCAGCAGGCAGCAACAGGAGAAGGGGTGCGAAGGAAGGGGTGTCTGCAGAGCCAACCACACGGACATATGACCTAACCGAGCAACCTCGGTTTTCTTTCGAAAAAGCCAGAGTCCGGAAAGCCTCAAGGTGAGAATGTTTCTCGTTCCAGTTACATAGGATTGAGGAATCAGTACTTAGTACATCATGTTGTGCATTGACCAGAATGATTACTCAGGCTGACTCTAGCCAGCTGCTGTCATAATATGAAAAATCAGCCATGCTCTTTCGTTCTTTTGATTTATCTTTAGCCTGCCTTTCAAGGCCAGCTTTTCCATTCTCATCCTAGAGCATCTTAGGATCTGTCTGGCAGGAGTGCATGTGTGTATTTGACACAGAAATGTAGTGCAATGGACATCGAAACCTAGTTTGCATGTACCGTGTTTTCCCGAAAATAAGACCCTGTCTTATATTTTTTTTGAACCCTGAAATAAGCGCTTGGCCTTATTGCCATGCGCTCAAAAGCCTGATTGGGCTTATTATCAGGGGATGTCTTAGTTTGGGGGAAATAGGGTAACAAGCCACGATGCCGTGTGTTTGGGGGGATTTCATCTGCCCATTAGGGCTAAGGATTAGGGACAAAGACTTCTCAACACATGTTGGTTTGAAAAATCCAATATAGGATATCAGCTATGTCTTGTAGTATTAGATGGAATGGTGGTTTATTTATTTATTTTTTATTTCTCAAAATAGTTTCTATATGATGGATATAATTTTAAGTCCTGGGCCCACCGTTGAATTGTAGGTTGCATATTTAAAGTTCTAAATTTCTAAAGCAGCAAGGATCTCTCATTTCAACCTCGATCTACAAATATTCTGTTTTACTGATTCTGAAATTCTTTCCACATTTGGTGCTGTGGCATAGTGTGTCCATCCGTCCGTCCGTCTGTCCACCCACCCACCCATCCATCCATCCAATTTGGTGAATGCCAAACTCCCTAAACCTCTGGGTGGTTTATTGAATGAATGAATGAATGAATGAATGAATGAATGAATGAACGAATGAACGAATGAATGAAGGATACATACATACATACATACATACAGCAGTGGCCAAAATTGTGGAAACCTTTCGGGAAAAGTATATTTTTGAGGTTTGATGGCTGATAACACCACTTTTTTTTGGAGTTTCAAGATAATCCTATTCCACTGCTGAAATGGCCTGGGAATAGCCCAGACCTTAACCCAATTGAAAATCTATGGAGTCGACTAAAGAAACTTGTTAGTCAGAAGCGACCCAGCAATAAAACCCAGTTAATAGAAGCCATCATTCAATCTTGGTTTCACATTATAACAGCTGCAGAACTAAAAGACTTGGTTCACTCCATGGGAAGACGTCGTAAGGCCGTCATTCATGCTAAAGGTTACCCAACTAAGTATTAACTGACACGATGATAATTTTTGTATATCTCATTTTTTCTATGGTGATAATTTTTGTATATCTCGTTTTTTCTACGTGTTTCACTTTTCTTCTGTATACTGTAACTGCTATTCTAATAGCAAATCCTTCATAAAAGTGATTGCAGTACATTCTTGATTAAATTATCTTTCCATGGATATATAATTTTATGGTACTACTCCCCCCTAAAAATGGTATTAATTAGCCAGTTTTAGAAAAGACACTTTTCCCAAAAGGTTTCCACAATTTTGGCTACTACTGTACATACATACATACATTCATACATACATACATACATTCTGTGATGGTGATTCCTTGTCTGCAAGGAATTATTTGTTCTCCGAGGACCTTGCATCTCCTGTGTGAGTAGAGGGCTGGACTAGATGACCTCAAAGGTCCCTTCCAACCAGGGTGGATTTGATTTAAATCAAGTTGATTTAAATCACAATTTAAATCATGATTTAAACCACTAGTAAAAAGGCTTGATTTAAATCAACTCGATTTAAATCATAATTTTTAAAGAGCAACTGTCATCTCTGCTACTCCTTTGACCCACTGTTGACTCACCGATAGTCCCAGTGTTGCAGAATATACAGCCTCATGCTACATAACTAAGCTCCATTTCATGCTGAATAAACTAAATTATTTATGTATCTTAAATAGAAAACTATCTTACGATAGATTTTTACCCCAAAAGTTTTTTATTAAAATAAATTCGATACAAATCAAAAAAATCCGATTTAAATAAAAAAATCTGATTTTTTTTTTGATTTTTTTAAAAAAATCATTGATTTTTATCCACCCTGCTTCCAACTCTGTTACTATTACTGTAACTGCATAAGAGGGGATAGATTTAGGATGAAAAGAAAAAAGCAGGGAGAAGAGCTAATTGTTCAGGCTTGTGCACAGAAGCTGTTGCCAGTTCTTAAACATAAAACTCACTACTTATAAATGGCTCCTCCAAATGAAGAAACCGTGGGCTGTTTTTGCTTTAAGGTCCAAGGGAGTCGTTCTAAATGTGTGCCTCATACTTTGTGCTTCCATTCTGCTCCCTGTGAAGATTTTCTTCTCTTTTTTTTTGTCGATGGAATATATCTGTGTCTTTTGCAACTTAAGATAATTGTGGTGCATGTACACAATAGGCTTGTTTTTTATATAGCTGATGCCTGCAATAGAGCAGAAGAAAAAACAAACAAATATTATCCCAGGCTTAGAAATGCTGTGCAACCAATGCCATCCCCAAGTAGAAACTTGATTTCAAACAGCAAAGCTAGGCAGCTTCTACAAAAGGAATTTCTTCTTCTTCTTGCACAAATATTGCTTAGCGCATTGTAAGCCGCCCTGAGTCTCCGGAGAAGGGCGGCATATAAATCAAATTAATATATATATATATATATAAATGGAGGTTAGAGGAAATGTACACTTATTCAACTCACAAGAACTTGTTTTAAGAAGTTGCCCTCTCGTGTATTATGGCACAACTTTGGTTATGTTCTTATTGCTCTTCTTTTTCATCATATCTCCTGTTCTTCCAGCACCATGTGTGCAACCTTGGCAATGTTAAGATATGTGGACTTCAACTCCCAGAATTCTCCTACCAGCCGTGCTGGCTTGGGGAATTTTGCAAGTTGAAAAACATGCATGTTAAAATTGCCAAGGTTGAAAAAACACTGCAAGTCGTAGTCCTTGACTTATGGTCGCAATTGAGTCCAAAATTTCTGTTGCTAAGCGAGACAGTTGTTGAGTGAGTTTGGCCCCGTTTTACGACCTTTCTTGCCACGGTCCACCTGCCCTTTTGATGGGTGATTTCTTATTTTGTTGTGCAGACTAGGACTTTACTTACAACCAGCTCTTGAGTTCAATACAGATAGTCCTCAACTTACAACCACAATCGAGCCACAAATGTATGTTGCTAATGGAGAAATTTGTTAAGTGCCCCATTTTGCAACTTTTCTCGCCACATTTGTGTTAAGTGAATCCCTGCAGTTGTTAAGTGAGTCACATGGTTGTTAAATGAATCTGGCATCCCCATCGACTTCCCTTCTCAGAAGGTCGCAAAAGGGGATCACGTGGCCCCAGGACATGGCAACCGTCACAAATATGAATCCATTGCCAAGCATCCGAATTTTGATCAGGTGACCATGGGAATGCGGCAATGGGCGTAAATGGGAAAAACAGTTGTAAGTCACTTTTTTAGTGGACTTATAACTTCAGACAGTCGCTCAACAAATGGTGGTGAGTCGAGGACTACCTGAATTCGAGAAGCTTCATTCTTTCAAGGTTCCTCATCCAGTCAAATCCTAGGATTGCTTAGGTCATAATTCCTCCAGGGCAGCATAAAAAAAATCAAGATGGCGGCCACTCTAGTGTGATCATGCCTCAGTCTTTAATTGTGTTGCCATGGTTGCTATCTCCTTTTAGACATCTCCTTGCAGGCTATCCATCAGAAAACGTCCTGTTGTTGTGGCCCGTCAGCAGCCTGTGCAGATTGTAGCTGATTCCGACAACGAGGAGGCTGGTGTGGTGGTGCGCCAGCAGCCTGTGCAGCTGGTGCTCGAGTCGGACAGTGAGGAGGCTGGAGAAGATGTGGTGCCAGAGGCAGGGATTCAGCCAGGGCCTTCAGAACCTCCAGAAGCTCTTTAAGTGAAGAGGACGAAGTGGAGGAGCCTCTTCTCAATGCACGGGCGCGCAGAGCTGCCAAAAGGCAGGAGTGGCTCCTCAGGAGGAGGTCTCCTCGAGAGTAAGGCTTGGGGCTAATTGGCCACTCCCTTAGCCTATTTAAGGAGGAATGCCACTTGCAGCAAGCTGTAGGGAACAACTTTAGTTCAATCTCCTTCGCGTCTGGATTCTCTGCAAAATTGTTTCTGGGCTTTCTGCCAACTCTAGTAAGACTGTGATTACCTCATCTTAGAATTCTGGTAGGCTGTTAAGACAGTTCATTAACAGCCTTTGAATGATAAAGACTAAGTTATTTGAGTAAAATAAGCTTTGTATAGAGTTTGTGTGTGCTCCGTTCTTTGGGGTCCGTAGCTGGGGCAGAACACCTGTACAGAGAGCCCTCAACTTACAACAGTTCATTTAGTGACCGTTCAAAGTTACAACGGCACTGAAAAATGTGACTTACGACCATTTTTTTCACACTTATGACCATTGCAGCATCCTCATGGTCACGTGGTTTACATTCGGATGCTTGATAACTGACTCATATTTATGACGGTTGCAGTGTCCCAGACTCATGTTAATCCCCTTTTGTGACCTTCTGACAAGCAAAGTCAAAAGGGGAAACCAGATTCACTTAACAACAGGGCGACTAATTTAAGAAGTGCAGTGATTCACTTAACACAAATGTGGCGAGAAAAGTTGCAAAATGGGGCCCTTAACAGATTTCTCCGTTAGCAACATACATTTGTGGCTCGATTGTGGTTGTAAGTTGAGGACTATCTGTATTGAACTCAAGAGCTGGTTGTAAGTAAAGTCCTAGTCTGCACAACAAAATAAGAAATCACCCATCAAAAGGGCAGGTGGACATGTTGTTTTTTTAAAATCACATATGTGTTTGACTTTTAGGAACAAACTTCTGGACCGAATAAATATTTAATCTGCTCCTGCAAGTTTTAGTTCTGAGAGATGATACTCTGCCAGAATTTGACACTGGAACTGGCAATCATTTTATTAGGCTTTTAAGTCAGAT